CGAAACTAAAATTTAGCGTAAAAAAACTTTTCGTGTGGGAAAAAAATACGCATTACATCATCATAACGTCATCTCGGATCACCCGGGTTGTTCTAGGTCAAAGCAACAGTATAACTCTAACCTGACAGGTCGGGTCATGCAGGTCACGGGTCATTAAAATTACCAACCCTGACTCAATTTAAAATCTGGATCAGGTCGATCACCTGGGTCTGACCCGACCCTTTCAGAGCACTAATAATTCATTTGTTTATGTATAAATTACTAATTTTAAATTGAATGATTCGATAATATTCATTTATATTTCAATCACAACTAAATTAAATTTAAAATTATGATTATACAGCGCGTAAGTTATTTGATTCATAGTATCATTTTTATTTAAAAATTATTTTAATCAAATTTACATTTAAAATTATTCAATTAATATACAGCATGTAAGTTATCTCTATTGATTCATTGTTTATGTATACATTCACCGTATATATCTAATTTTAAATTATCCACTAATTATACAGGGAGTAAGTATTTTATTGCATCATTTATTATTTATATTTTCAATCACAACTAAATTAATTTAAAATTATATAATGTTTGATTATACAGTTGGTAAGTTATTTGATTCTTAGCATCATTTTTTTTTAAAAAATTAATTTAATCAAATTTACATTTAAAATTATTCAATTAATATAATTAATATACAGAGAGTAAGTAATTCATTTTGTTTATATATAAATTCATCTTGGCTAAATTTAAATTTAAAATTATATAATGTTTGATTATACAGAGCAAGAAAGTAAGTTATTTGATTCATAGTATCAATTTTTTTTAAAAATTAATTTAAACCTATTTTAAATTTAAAATTATTCAATTAATATAATTAATATACAGAGGGTAAGTAATTCATTTGTTAATGTATAAATTCATAGTATATTACTAATTTTAAATTGAAATGATTCGATAATAATACAGCGCGTAAGTTATTTATAATATAAATGTATCCTTTATTAATATATTAGCTAAAATTTAATTTTAAAATTATTCAATAATGACTCAGGAGGTAATTATTTATATTTTCAATTATAGTTAAATTTAAATATTAAATTATTTATTTGTATAATTTATATATAATTCATAAAACTTAACAAAATTTACATTTGAAATTTTATAGTTTGTAAGTAAATTATTGCTATTGTATGATTTTTATAATATAAAAGCTAAATTTAAATTTTAAATTGTTCAATTTTTAATGAATTAGTTTTAAAGCAAAATTTAGTTATAAAGCAAAAGCGTAAGTTATTTCTATTGTACTATTGATTAATGTACAATTTATAAAGCTCAACTAAATTTAAAAATTAAAATTGGCTAAATTAGCTGAATTAGCTGATGCTAATGTAATATCAAGTAAGTCATTTTTATTATATGTTTTATTTATGTATAGTTTATAAATTCAACTGTATTTAAATTTAAAAATTATTCAAATATTTAATTTAATATGGATGATGTAGAGAGTAAGTGATTTCTGTTGTATCATTAAATTTATGTATAATTTATAAAACTCAACTTAAATTTTAGTTTAATATCAATAATAATACAGATCGTAAGTTATTTCTATGAATTATTAATGTATTATATATAGTTTTATCAAATTTAATTTAAAATTTAAATTAATTCAATAATAAAATAACCAGTAAGTAATTTGATTTCTATTTAAAAATTTTCAAGATAAATAAGTAAATTTAAATATATTTTTTTTGAATTTAATTGCTACCAGCTATAAAAAAATCAGATTGGCATATTTCTATAAGCCCAGATGGAAAATATCTAGTTACATTTAATCATAGTAATTATAATATTATTATTTATGTTTTTTTTTGTAAATTAATCTTAATATACAGTATATTTGTTTGCAGAAATTAAAGGGTTTAAAATTTTTGAATATATACAATATGATAAAATCAAAAATGATAATGAATATTCACATTATCTTAGCAAAGATTTCTGTAATTCTCAATTTAAAGATCAATGGATGTTAGCAATATCAAATATAAAAAAAAAAATGTCATCTTTGTCGCAATATCATGTATAGCAGAATTTGATATGACAGTTAAAAAAGATGAAATTAAAATTCAAATTGAAGATATCACAATTGAGAAAGATAATATTTTCACATTGGAAGATAAAGAGCAACATTTGAATGGAAAAACTGTTATTTATAAAATACATTTAGATTTACATAAAACAGATGAAGTAATTTTTAAAGTAATTAAAGTTGAAAAATATAAAGAAGAAGAAATCGGTGGAATTGTTTCTTTTGTTCATGATATACAAACTTATTTTTTTATCTTTAATGCTAATGGTATCTATAGGCTTACCATTGAACTTGATAATGATGATTTTGAGCAATTTAACTATCCAAAAAGATTTATAAAAGAATTAGAAATTTTATACAGGTTAAAATCTTGTATATTTCGTATTAACAACTGTATTTTTGGCAATTACTTTCATATTGAGCAATACAGAGAAGGTATTCAAGTTATGCAATTATATGATCTAAGAACCATGCAAATACAACAAATTTTTAATATATATGAAGAAAAAAAATATAATAAATATAGCGATTCAATATTAGCTATTTCAGCAAATAAGCAAATGATTGCTTTTTCTTCTGGATATGGAAAATTAGCTCTTTATTTAATAGAAAATGGTCTGGAAATTATTCATAAATATTTTAGGAAAGACACCAAAATAATTGCTTGTAAATTTAAGGATGCTAACAATTTAATGATAATAGTTAAAAAAGCTAAATACAAAGATGCAGAGATGTTACTTTGGAATTTATATACAAATAAATTTCAAAAATATGATAAATATATTGGAGCAGAAGATGAAAAAAGTATTTTTTATAGTGCAAGTATTTCTTGTAAATATGTATTAGTTGATGATTGTGGTGGTGTATTTTCAGTATATGATAAGTTATATCAAATAGATAATAACGATAAGGCAAAAGAAGAAAATAAAAAAGAAAAAGATTCTTTATAAGTATACAGCAGTTGTAAAGTAGAAAGTTCAGATAAAATATTGGAATATGTAAATAATAAAGGAAAAGTACAACCCTTTTTACATAACAGAGAACCATGGATAACTGATATAACTGATATAACTGATAATAAAAATAAGATATGGGTATATCTTGATCAAAATAAATCGATACAGTTATATATTGAAAAGTATACAGTTCAAGTATGGCATCAAATTGAGCAAAAAGAAAAGTTTATTCTGGAATATATTTGGGTTAACGATGAAATTTTACAAATATTTGACTTAATTGTTTATGAAAATAAAATTGGATTTTCTCTTAAATTAGAAAATAATATTCATCTTGAATGGGTATATAATGATGATAATGGTCATAAAAATTTAATGAGACATGCATGCTATGCTCTTGAATATTTAAATGATCAAAGAGATAAATTAGTCGGATATGAAAATCAACATGGTATTTATTAATTTTTATAATAATTTTTTTTTTTAAAAAAAAAAATAAAAATAAAAATAAATTAATGCTAATTTTATTTTTCATAAAAAAAAAATAGTATTTGAAGAAATTAAGTATAATGTTACTCTTATGATTTGGAGATTTATTAGAAATTATCCTGGTATTTGGAAATTGTTAGATATTCACTATAATCTTATGGCAAGCATTATAATTGGTGGTTCAAATACTCTTATTAAATATATTTTATTTGGTGATGATAATGTTGTAAATCATGAATATTTACATATACCAAGATTAACTCGATGGATAGGTGTTGAATTAAATGATAGACCTAAAAAGAAATTGGAAATATATAAAGATAAAAGTGATTTGCAAATAGCTATTGGATTGTGTAAACCTGGTAATTTTATCATTTAAATATTTATATTATTTAAATAATTTTAATTGATGAATATTCTTTATAGGTCTTGAACGTAATCGTAGGATTTTGGTTGTAACTTATTTACTTGAATATTATTCACAAAATGCAACTAAACATGATGGGTGGTTAATTACTATTTCAAAGGCATTACCAGATTTATATAAATATAATTTAGGTATGTTTTATCATTTTTTTTAAAGTTATTTTTGAACCAATTTTTTTTTAATATAAATAAATTTTTTAAATAGAATTTTTGTGTAAGCGAATTATTTTATAAAAAATGCATGGAAGGTATCGAAATATCAAATATTATTGAACACACAGATATTATACCTAAAAATATTCAAATCATTTTAAAGGCAAAACAAAAGTATACAGCATTTAATCCAATCTCGAAACTTATTTCAACAAGTGAGCCGAAATTTAATTTTAAAGCTCTAGGAAAGGTTTTAAGGTTAAAATTAACAAAACTTTACGCAAAATTTCTTCCAAATAATTATGAAAATTGTTCTCCAACTGTAAAAATGGTTCCTTTACATAATCTTACTATTAATAGTATACATGAAAAGAATAACGACAAACCCTCACAATTGCCCCTATATCTACAACGTATTATCAAATTTTTGAAATTTTTATTCATCCCTCGAGGTTATGTTGTTATTAATTCAGCTGACGCAGAGAAATTTGCAAAACTTAGTCCATTTGTACAAATAATTAGAAAAGAAAATAATGATGATATTTTTAATAACCCTGTAATGGAAGCTGTAATTGATTACAAATGGAAACCAGCAAGAAACTATTTTCTTCGACTTTTTGTTCTTTATATTTTATTCGCAGCTTGTTTTGCAGCAATTTGTGGGACTTATGTGGCACATTCTGAAGCAACAGGATATCGTAATTTTTTATTATTCCTTATTATCCTTTTCTATTATTTAGGATGTTATTTATTAGTTGTTGAATACAGACAGTTTGAACATCATGGTTGGAGATATTACTTCAAACTTTTTAATTGTGTTGATTTAGCATCAGTTGTCGTAGCGGTGGTTGTAATGTCAGTTCATGTCACTCCTTCATTTGATACTAAAAACGCATTTGCTAATGTTGAGACAACTCAAGAAATAACCATCGCGATTTCTTTTACAATGTTATTACTGTGGTTTGAATTTGTATGTATTTCATGATTTATTGTGATAAAAAATGTTTGAAGAAGGAATTAAAATTATTACATTTTATTATCAAATAGATTTTATATCTTCGGTTAATATCAGGTAATATTGGAAATTAATATTTATCTTCATAATATATAAGTATTTAACTTTTACAGGGGATTATTTCTTTTAGAACCAGCGAAATATATTTATATTATGCTAAATATTATTAATGAGACTTGGATATTTCTTGCTTTTATGATTCTTGTGATGGCAGGATTAGCAGATAGTTTTTTACTATTATTACAATATCCTGATTTTACAAATCTTACAGAATCAACAACATCATCTACATTAATTACGGATGATTCAAACTTTAAAATTCAAAATGATTTTGATCGAACCGAAGATAACCCAGCTAAAAATTTCGTTATCTCATTTCTTGCAACATATAATTGGTTAAACGGTGCATTTTTACAACAGGATGCATGGAGTTTTTGGGCGGTAAAGTTTATTACTTTCTTTGGTAGTTTTCTTCTAGTAACCATCTTGCAAAATATGTTTATTGCTTTTATGGGGTAGGATTCATTTTATTTTTTCAAGTGTTTTTTAGAATATAAATTAAATTTTCATTAGTGGAGTGTATTCTAATGCATATGAGAAAGGTCGTGTTGCTTTATTACGATTTCGTGCAGAATCAATTTCAGATTATGAGGCATTGGATGAGATATATTTCTATCCTCCGCCCCAGAACCAAAATTTATTTATTATATAGGTAAGTCAATAAGTCATGATAACTGGGAAGAGAATGTCAAAAATTGGGAGAATAAAAACTTATATGATGACTATGAAACGAAAATGATTGAGAGAAAGTTATCATATGAGGATGAAGAAGATGATCATTCCGATGATGAAGATAGTTCTGAAAATGAAAAGAAGAATGAAAACACTGGTGTTAAAGAGCTTAATAATAAGGTTGTTAAGAAAGGAAAGGAAAAAGAAATTAGTATTACTGAGCTTGATAATAAAGTTTCTAAGGAAGAAGATATTAGTAATAATGATCTTAATAATAAGATTAATGAATATAATATTAAATATAATAGCAGGTTTGATGAGATTAATAGTAAGATTGATAAATTACTTAATCTTAATCATTCAGTAAATTAATCTTTGAAATTTAGGAAATTTTGTTATAAATGCTTTAATTTTATTAACGAAAGTTTTATTGTTTCTTCATTTTTAACGTTTGATAAATTCAAAACTTGACAGTTTTGAAAAGTCTCTCAAGCGTTGTTATAGATTTATAGATTCTTTTTTTTAAATAAAAATTTCTTCATAAAATACGAATGCAGAAATTTTTCATTATATAACATTTTATTAAATAAATATTAAGTATTTATATATTTTTTTATTATAAAGGGCTGATGTTGTTTATTTGAAACTCCAAACAATATACTTGTATGATAGCATGATCATAAAGTCATTTCAGTGATCAGTGTTTTTGTGTTGCGTCATCATAATAGTAAATCCCGTAAATAAATAATAGCAAGGAGATCTTATTAACAACTCCACACTGTTATCGATAGAAATTACCTCTTTCATTTTTTTTTTGTCTTTTTATCAAAAATAATTTTATACTGTCACTTAGCCTAGTAAAATATATATGTTTATTCGCTAGCATAATGTTATTAATTAAAAATTGTGTTTCATTATAAAAGCAAACTTATTTTTTTCTCATAAATTTTAAAATTTCTATACAAAACCTGTTTGACGCTTCTCGCGATGTGTGTGATCTTTGTTTATTTGCACCACATGAACCAGATTGTTTTGGTGGACGTTAATGCATGCCTCTCAATGAAATTGCTGATTTCTTGTCAATGGCTAGCTATTACTAAAATAATATCGGATTTTTTTTTGAAAAGTCTAAATTCTTTAATGCTTATTTCTTATTTCAAGGCTTTTAGGTTTTTTAAAACCATGTCTGTAAATTATTTAATTCCAATAACGATAAGCGTTTCTAAATTATAAAAATTTACTTTTTTATTCAGCCCATAAAGTATCTAACCGGTTCGACACCAATAAAATTCAATAAAATTTAAAAATATTTCTTCAATCATTTCGAAACAATCATTTAAATCGCCATTCTCCAAAATCTATATATTTTATACAGGTTAAATATCTATCGTTGTAGATTAATTTATTGAATTTCACGAGGTTATAAAAATTGTATGATTTAATAAATCTCTCAATTTTTTTTATGTAAAAATTGTATGATTTAATAAATCTCTCAATTTTTTTTATGTAAAAATTAATTGTTGAATTATCGTGTATTTTTTAAAAATTTGTCAATTCAAATATAATTGTTAAATTTTATTTTTTTATATGTCGAAGTAATATTTTCTTACTAAATGATTTAGAAGGATTTAGACAACCATATCAATGTGTGAATGAGATTAAATTTACATGAATTAATCTTAAATGTAATAATGTTAATTAGATCTATTTCAAAATATATATTAGAAGTTTTATATCTTATATCTTTATCGCCTTATGCTAGATATCAGCTTAATGGACATTGGTTTAATATATAGGGAAAAAAAATTCATATACTTACCTGGTTCGATTCTGCAGCTCGACACCGCCTAAAAAAATCAATAAAAAGGCGCAGAAGGTGGTTTTATTTTTAATAAGGTAGGGTTGTTAAAAAGTCTCATCCAAAACGATCCTATGAAGTCCGGTCTAGGTAGAATTTTAGTCAATATTAAAAAGAAAATTCTAGATGTATTGATGATATAAGCGTTCAATAGAACGATATATCATCTTTCAATAACGATTGTAAGGCATTCGAGATGGTTGTCAATTCCCTATAGGTATCTATATATCAAGGCTCTTCATCAATCAAAGTTTAAAATGAAAATAAGCGCGCGCCTATCTGACGATCTATGGTCCGATCAATAATAAAATTGCGGTAATCCTGATACACGATGGTCTCCGCCAGATTTGATTAAGTTAGAATTGGTAAACTATAATTATAATATATTTCTTTAATTAATTGTAGTAAATTTACTTTTTAATAACTCTGGATTCTAATTGATGTTACCATTTCAAATTTCGCGAAAGTATTTAAAATAGCTGTCTCTTTCATAAAATAGTTTGCATTTGTTTTTTATTAAAAAAAAAAACCATTAATATCTCAAAAATAATAAAATATACCTTTCCACTGGAAAATTTATTTAAGGTTTTTAATAAAAAAAAAAAAAAAAGTATTTTATATTTCTTAAAGTTATCACGAATTCATTAAAGTTTCGCGCATTAGAGCTGCGACTCGTTACCATTTACTCGGATACAATCCGAGTATACCCGGATAATTATAAGTATCCGGGTCATAAAATAACAAATGGGTAAAACAGATAATATCCTGTTTGTATCCGTTATATATTTATAAGGGTTGACCCGAATACGATTAATATAAATCTTATTAATTTACAGTAATTAGAAGATCGATATTATGAAGAATTGTTGTTCCCACATTTGGAAAGGGATTTGTTTCTGTTGTAAAATATTCTGCTACGCATTTTGCGTTGTGATCAATTATAGCGTAATTGTTAGGTTGTAACTGTAAATCTATTTGGAAAAATGGGTTTATTCATACATTTAGTTAATTAGCGGTAAAGGCTCTTATCTAATGTTTATTTTTTCGTTTTATAGTAAAATGTAAAAACTATAGCTATATAAATATTAACTTGAACATCTTATTTGTGTACAAAACTGTCAACTTTGAAATTTTTAATAAATAAAAAAAAAAATTTTTTTGTATTCCGGATTTACCCGGATTCTGAAATTCTGACTCTATCGCGCATTTCTTAAGCAATAATAAAAATGCTCAAGTTATTAAAATTTTAAAGATTTCGGATATTCCAATGGAAAGTGCCTCACAACTTAATGGAGATCATGCCCAATCATTTGCAAAAGTAATTTCTAAAAGGCTTGGATTATTTCACTTACATCATTTGAATTGAATTTCAAAGGTTTGGAAATGACATTAATTTGGAATAGCAAGATTACAAGAAATTTTATTAAATAATAAAAAATTTGATGAATTCAAAATCTATGTTACACAAGTTTAAACCAACGTATAATTAACTAAAAGTGAATCTTATTAATTGTTAATCCCTCTAGGATAGACTTTTGAAAGATGAAGTATGTTGATTTGTTAATTTGGTTATGGTGCAACTCTAGATTAATAGTATATTAAATTATCCAATAAAAATTTACAATTAGAATAATTTAGCAGATTCAAAATATATATAAACATTCAATGTGTAATTTTACGATCAATTTTTTTTTTGAACATAATGAATATTACATATTAATATTGAATGATTGGTTTTACTGTGAAAAAATTTTTTATTTTTTAAAAAAATCTCCTTATTAGTTTATTGTGTAACTCTAATGATCAAGGATAATAGGTAGCGCATTTTTTATTCATTACATGTTTTTTTTATTTCTTTTATACTTTTTTTTATTAATCATTTATTTTTAATAATAGGTGTATGAACTTTTTGTCTTAGGTATTACAAACAAACGCTTAATCTTCTTAATTTTTATATCAAAAATATTGTAAAGCTCAGTATAAGGGCATTATCTCTCCTTATGAATTATTGAAATAAATATCTTAATCAATACTTGAGCAGCTTCTTTCTCTTCATTTTAATTTACGATATCATCAATTAGTAAATACTCTAAAGTTCGGTAAGGATTTAAATCATTTTAATCCATTATTTATGTAAATTCTACATAGCTAATGTATAAAAAAAAATTACGTATAAAACGTTGAAAAATTCGTTTAAATTATAATATACTTAATATTTGATTGGTAATTCTTATACTGAGTTTTTGTTTTAAAGGTGACGACGTCTTGACTCTACAAATATTTGACGAAATTTACAGTTAGTTAACGAATAAATTTTCATACATTTCTTAAAAATTTATTTTAAAGATGAAACAATTTTTGTATTCTAAAGATTGCCACCATTGACAATGCATGATGCACGAGTCGCAATAAGGAAACATATGTAGCTTAACACCACGCTATTCAATAAACAAACTTTAAGCTTGTATGAATACGGGTAATTTTGACAACATGTATAACACCGCATCATGTCTACTATGTTTTAGTTTAACTAATAATCCGGGAACAAGAAATTTTTTATACTAATTAGATTAGAATACATTAAGCGACAAAATAAATAAAAATCCTTTTGTTCTAATCTGTAATTTCTGAATAACGGTAAAGTTGATAAAATGTCCTTGCAGTGTCGCAACCTTTACATCGAAATATCAAAACTCTTTCAATTTGAGGTGTCCTGAAATCCCAACTTCATCATAATCAAAGCAGAATCGATTTCTAATTCTTTTAAATTTTTACAATTTTCAATCGAAAGATGTAGAACAGAAACCTTTTGCATATTATATGCCCATCGAAAACCTTCTGATAATTATTTACATTGTGAAAAGTGAATCCTTGGCTCCTACATTGCTATAATAGCCTGAAGTATAATCTATCGATTTACCTCACCAAAAAAGCGAACCATCCCGAAAGAGGAATCGGCGCCCCTGAAACTGGAAATTAAAAACTCAAGAATTAAAAATAAACCAATCGCGACCCTACCCGAATTTTAAAAATAATTAATAAATAAAATAAAAAATTCTTACAAATGCAGCCAAAGTCGAAAATAGGGAATATGTTAAGATTCAAAAATAGTAATCGATTTAGAATTGATTAATTGCGATTTATTTCGGTTTCGATTTTAATGATTTTATTTATGGCGTAGCGATCTTTGATCACTAATTGAAAAGCAAAAAAAGATAAATTATTAGCAAAGTAAAAAAAAAGTTTAACTATTTTATGATAATTAGATATATAATTCAGCTACATATTTTTCAAGACCATGTAAATTTGGTAATTGTACTTTTATTTTTTTAACATTTCGTTATTATTTTGTTCTCACATCTAATTAAAATGCAAAAGAAATTAAATTTTAAAGCAATATCGTTGAATTAACCTAGTTTTATTATCCGCACTTAGTGTGAAACTAGCGATTTTTCGATTAAAGAAAAAAGAGAAAGTCAAAAAAAAAGGAAAGAAAAAAAAGCTAAATAACCGTGACCTTCTTGGAAATCACTAAAAAGAGAATTATTAATCTAATAATTTAGAATTATTTAAGCGAGAAATTTAATATTTTTTTTAAAAATAATTAATATTCTGACAAATTGCCCTCATCTGTTTTGTTAATTAGTATTTTTCAAAAAAAAAAAAATGACAAATAAATAAAACACGCTAAAAAATTTCCAAGATATTGAAGCATTAACTTTTAAAAAAAAGACCAGGAAAACTTTAAAGGATTTGTAAGAGCGTAGAATAAAGGATTAAAGAAAGCAAATGAAGAAATGCAATTTATACTCTCCTTTTAATGTAAGGCCACGCACATTAACATTTTCGATCAAGTCACCAGGCCGGTCACCTTTTAAATTTCATATCCGCCTAATGATATTTGAACAATGTTTAATAATAAAAATGATATTTATTTTAAGACACCTAATAATTATTGGTTCATTGCATTTAATATTTCTAAGATGGACTCTCTGTTTTAATATAAATATTTGTAAAGTTGGCGGTCCATCATTTCTTTGACATAAGGAAATCTTCATTTCCATAATCTTGTTCATCGGCATGTAAATTAAATAAAACCCAAATCATTACCAAATTTCGCTATGATATATTTTGCTTGAATAATCGCATTATCTTTTGACTCGACTGGATGAAACTGTTCCATATACTTTATTCGAGAAAATAAAACTTTCTTATGCGTGAATATATTATTGGTAAGTCTCGATTATTTCTCAATTTTCATTACCATCAGTGAAGGCTCACGGTGATCTTTAATTGTTGGCAATAATTGTAAATAATATTTATCATAAGAAATTGGACATTCTTTCATGCGATTTTTTTTTTTTTTTTACAAAAGTTTAATTTCGAAATGGAATGTCAAACTTTAATTTTGTCTGGTTGCTAATTAGGGGTGGTAACGGTCGGTCGTGGTCGGTCAACGGTCGGTCAAAGGCCGTTGACCGACCGACCGGTTAACTGACCGATTTTAACTGACCGGTTGACCGACCGGTTAATAGTAATATAATTGAGCAGTTTAGGCTTAATAAAAAGTTTTAATTTAGCAAATATTATAAATTTGATTCTTGCTTTAACAATACTAACATGACATTTTTTTAAACTACTTTGTCATTTTTATATAGTGGCGCAGCATTATCGCGGACTTTAATTTTTTTTTTCAAAATTTCAAAATTTTAATTTATAAATAATTAAAATAAAAAGTTGATTTTGTTATTTTTAATACAAAATGTTTTTACTATTTAAAACATGGTTCAGTCGGTCAACCGGTCGGTCAGAGGCCTTTGACCGACCGATATCGGTCACGGTTATGACCGGTTATGACCGGTCATGACCGTGACCATTAGCATCCCTATTGCTAATATTCTTCATTTCGTTTAGACAGACTGATGTGATAGTGACTGTAAGCGGATAGTGACTACTTTATTACCTATCTTCAAAATTTTAATGATATAAATTACCATCCATATATGCTTCAACCAACTATGATATAAAAATGATTGCTTATAGCATATCCTGTCTCCTTATAAATTAATAAAAATTCTTTCTGTTTACATCTAGTGGGGTTAATTATGTATGTCGAATTTATGAAAAAAAAAGCATACATTGTATATATGTTAGTTATGTTATTTTAATGAAAAGTTTATTATTTATGTAATAATGATTTGAATGAATTTAGTAATTTTATAACATTCGAAATTAAAGAATAAAAAAGGTTTTTTTCTTTTAAAAAAAAAATAATCCAACTATTACTGCCTCAGCAGACATTATGTAATAGGCATTAAGAGAAGAGAATCTTTATAAATTCTCCTTTTCAAGTAAACAAAGAGAAGAAAATTGTTCGAAATGACAGTTGGATCGTCACTAGTGACGCATTTTTGCGAAATTTCATTAAAAAAAAGTAATAAATTGATAAATTGATCAAATATAAGTTTATAACACTACAAGATGGTTTTGGTATGGTATTAGAATTCGATAAAAAAAAAATTATTTTGTGACTGATTAAATTAAATTATTAAATATTAATAAACAAATGATGACTAACCTTTTTATTGCTTCTTTCTTTAGATCTCTTTGAAAACAGTAATAACAATTACTACAAGCTATGATCATTAAATTATGCCAATTACCTAGTTCAAAATAAAATTTATTCTTATTTTCTCTTTTTTTTTAAAAAATTAATGTCAATGTTAATTTTTAATCATATAGAATCATTATAGTAAAAACACTCATAAAACTTTGCTTACTATTAACTTGAGTATTCGTTTCTAATTCTTCTATATTTCGTTTTTTTGAATTTGCAGCTGAATAATTTGGAATATATTGAATATATTGATTGTGCGTCAATTGTCGATTTGATGTCGACGGGATACTAGATATCGAAATATATATTAATTTAATATACAATTTTAAACGTTAAATTTAATTCATTACAATACCTTTGAATATCAAATTCATATTCTTTAGAAATATACTCTAAAAAAAAAAATAATTATAATGGCCTTCATTATTGATACTTTTATTAACGCTTTAAATAGTATAATAGGTACCTTGATTA